AAAGTGGGAATTGTCAAAAAGATGATGTCACCTTGGGAAGGTCCATACAGAGTTGCAGAGGTCATAGGAAAGGGGGCATACAGTTTAGAAACCATGGCTGGAAGGTTGGTCAATAAACCATGGAACGCCACATCTCTAAAAAGGTACTACCGGTAAAGATTGAATTCAATTTTGAATGATGTTTATTTAGAATTGTGCTCTTGTAAATGTGTAAATTCACCAAGATTTATGAAAAAAGTTCATTTTGTTTCAAAAATTGATTGAGCAAAGAGTACTAAAAAAAAAGAAGTCAAGTGGCAAGTGACATTCTAGCCGAGTGCCAAACAAGTGGCAAACGACACTATCAGCCGAATGCCAAACACTTGCACAAAAAAAAAAAAAAAATAGGGGCCAAGTGGCAAGTGGCATTCTAGCCGAGCACCAAGCACTTAGCCAAGTAAGTGGTAAACGACATTATGAGCCGAACGCCAAACATTTGCACAAAATAAAAAAAAGGGGTCAAGTGGCAAGTGGCATTCTAGCCGAGCGCCAAACACTTAGCCAATTAAGTGGCAAACGGCACTATGAGCCAAACGCCAAACACTTGCACAAAAAAAAGAAAAGAAAAAGAAAGTCAAGTGGCAAGTGGCATTCTAACCAAGTGCCAAACACTTAGCCAAGTAAGTGGCAAACGACACAATGAGTCGAGCGCTAAACACTTGCATAAAATTAAAAAAAAAGGGGTGAAGTGGCAAGTGGCATTCTAACCGAGCGCCATGCACTTAGCCAAGTAGGTGGCAAATGGCATTATAAGCCGAATGCCAAAGCTTGCCAAAACAAAAGTCAATTGGAAAAGTTAAATTGTTATTTCATTAAAGCACAGATTGAGGCATGGATGCTTTGTAAAACAAAATTATCATTTCATTTATCACCATAAAAAGGTTTATGATATACAAAAAATGATACTATAGTGAAATGAAACAAGTGCAAAAGCTAGCAGAACTCTACTCTATCACATCTTCTCCTGTGCCTGATCCATTATCCGTTCCACCATCATTGGCTACTTCATCATTGCCGGCCGGCTCATTGTCTTTTTCCCTATCATCGATTGCTTTTTCGCCTCTGGATGGAGAATCAAGATAGATGACCTCCTCAGTTGGCAGAGCTTTATCAGTGGCAACAATGGCTGGAGGCATAATGGTGGTGATGGGAGAGATACTCAAAGGACGAACAGGTGGGATAACCCCAGAGGTTGCAATCTCATTGCACTCAATGAATATATTCCCGGTAGGAGTAGGAAGTGGATCCTTGTAAACCCTCAGCGGGTCGATATCTAGAGAGGTGTCGAGGTCATCTGGACTTGCATAGGAGCTTGATTCGCCTTTTGGAGGAGATTGGTCAATTAAATCGTCTCTACACCCTTCGGCATATCTCAGAGCCTCGATCCGAGAAAAACGAGCATGAAGAGCCTTCATGCCACCATCAACTCTACCTATGACGTTCAGTATAGCGGTGCGCTCGTTCGAGAGTTTCTCTTCAGAAACAGAATGGGTCAGCCGTTCAGAAACTAAAGTGCATTGAAGATTCCCCTTCTCAACTTTCAGAGCATTTCTCTTTGTCTACACAACATTTCTCTTTGTCTTCAAGACATCCATCTCATCTTGAAGAGAATCTCGCTCGTTCTTCAGAGCATCTCTTTCAGCCCTCAGAGCATTAATTTCCTTCTCTGATTCATTCAGCTTGACCAGCAGCTCTGTGTTTTTGGCTTCTACTGCCTTCGCCCCCTTAACAGATCTATCAAGGCCAATAGAAAGGGCTTTGACTCTCTTGTTTGCCAGTTCAAGATTTCTCTGAAAGGTGATTATTCCAAATAGAGTCTACACAAAGACACAAACGTTCTGATAAGTGTAAATGTACGATGGTCTGAACGAGAAAAATGAATGAAAGGCAAAAAAGAGTTACCTTGACAGCAGCTGCGGGAAAACGGTTGAACATTTCATTGAAGGTCATTTTTTCTATACTTGTATATCCTGAGGGGTCCAAATGCCCTTATAGAAAGCAAATGACGTTGCAGGATCCTTAAACATAGTGTCCGAAGGGGCCACAACTGACCCATCCTCCCGTTTGAGTGTAGGGCGCCATGGAACCATTGCTTGGGAGGAGACAGAAGTTCTGGTAGATTCACCTTCTAGAATGCTTATCTGAGGTGAAGGGAGAGTGGTGGTGACCTTGTAAGTTCTAGCCTGTTGGGCTGAAGGATGGTCATCTCGATTAGAGCCACCCTCAGGCTGGATCTCTTACCTAGGCTCTTCTCCGAAACATTTGTTCGGACGGGGGTGGATCCCTCGGTGTTTTGAGTAGCAGGTGGAGAACCTTCGTTTGGAGTTTCAGAGGGATCACCGGTCGGCAAGGAGGGTGAAACTTCGGTTGAAGTGGATGCAGGAGATTCAGAGGTAGGCACTCCAGCGCTCTGAGCCGTAACCGGAACGGTTGGGATGGCCACAGAAGCAGCTGGGGCAGTTGCAAGAGTAACTGCAGAAGGAGGCCTCCTTCTGTTGAAGGAATCTGGATGTGTTCCATAGTAACACCAAGAGCTGATATGTCAAAAAGGTTGTTCGGGGTAAGCAGATCGATAACAGAGGGAATGTCGTTTAGTATTTTCTCCTGCAAGAGATTAATTCTAGCCTTGCAAACGCTGAAAACCAATTCATCATGAGGAATGTGAAGGTAATGACAAAGGAAAATGCAAAAACGAGAAAGGCAAATTTCACAAGGGCAATCGTTCTTATGCTTCTTATATTTCTTATATAAAGGGACAGAACACTCCCCAAAAGTGGTTGGGATAGGGAAAGTCTGAGCGAATGGTGTTCGCCAAGCCCCACTGACCCCAATCAAGTTACTTCTCCAACCCTTTTTAGAGGCGAGTTTATTCGTGCATATAGACCTTTTTTCAAGGGGAAAGAAGTGAAAGTACATGTCATTGGTGTGATTTTGGTGACTTGATAGCAGAGAAGAAGATCTATGATGTCAAAATCTAGATTCCTATCACGATTTAAAAGTATATTACCCTAAGGAAATTGGGATTAACTTGAAGAGGGGAAAACCCTAATTTGTTAAAGACATAACAGAAGAACGGGTGTAAGGGAAATCTAATTACATTTAATTGAAGAACAGAAAAGAGGACTTCTCCTGGAAGAAGACCCTTATCGGATCTCTCGTCTAGGTCTACGGGATAAACCCTAATGGAAACATCATTAGGGATTTCATTATTCAAACGAAGAGCTTCTAAGTCTAAAGCCATTGTAATGGTGGAGGAAATTCCCAGTTTTGGGGTTTCTTTATTTTAAGAAAAGTGGTAAAAAGCAAAATCCTAGGAAAATAACAAGGGATTAGAACTAACCTTAGAAAGGAGGTCTGCAGAGTGCATCGCGACAAAGCGAAAGATGAAGAATCGCAAAGGGAAAACTCACCGGAGAAGACAATGAGAGTTCGCCGGAGAAGACTGGTAATTGACAGAGATGATTAGGCAAAATGATGCTTGAGGATGAAGATGAGAAAGATAGAAGAAAGGCTAAAGGTGGAAGGTTTGGGTTTTTAAAGAGAAGATGATTCAGTATCTAAGGAACCATGGTTATAATGGTGCATCGAATCTCAAAGCGTGGGTCTCTGAGCCAACCGTTCGCTTCCCCACATCACCGCCTCGAGCAGTCTTGTTATGATTAGATCTCTTCGATAATCTCACTCTAATTAATTGGGGAGAGATTATGGGGGCAGGTGAAGATACCAAAAATGACTCTGGCCGGGCATAGTCCAAATTATTAAAGGAGGAATTGGGCAAGAGCAATCGACCGGATCAGGTGGAGTCCCATCAAGCCCAATCTCCGTTAGGATGGTTTCCAAGCCCAATGTGCAAGAGAAGGAAACAAGTCCACGTGTAAAGAAAAAGCCCAGCAAGATGAGTAAAACTGGAAGCTTTTAGAATAATTGTAAATCTATATAAATAGATGGAAAAGAGAGGGAAAAGAGGTTGAGATATTTTTGAAGTGTAAAAGCTTTTCTTTCTAAATCAAGAGAATTGTTTCTTGCATCTTCAGATACGTATTCTCACTTATGGAATTTTAGTAGATCTATGTGATGAGTACATAAAGGTTGGCGAGTGCACAATGATCCAAAGCTCGAAAAGCTTTTGTGATGCTCTAATTGCATTATAGGTGGAGCAGTAACTACTCTCACCAAACGAGGCGACATTATGCGTCTACTTCAAGAAGGGGAGGAAAGAGGATTCCTACATATGCTTGGCTCTATAGATTATATGCATTGGGAATGGAATAACTACACTGCAATATGGCATGACATGCACAAAGGGAGAAGCCGTAAGCCTCCCCTCATACATCAAAAAATCTGTGGATCTGACATGCTTTCTTTGGTATGGCTAATTTACATAATGACTTGAGTGACTTGAATCATTTCCTAATATTCAACCATATCATTAATGGTGTAATGCTTCCGGTTAATTACATAGTGAATGGGAACCCACTATTTGGAGATATCAGGATCAAGGTATCCCCTTATTTGGGCCAGACCCCCTCCAAGAGTGGAGTAGATCACGACGAAGACATTGTCTGTTCAGGCGGGGAGAGTGCCATGTCCAACATCAGACACAAACCAGGTAGAAAATACAGTTTCACATGTTGAAATGGCACAATTGTTTCTTAAGGTTTCCTCACATTCTATAATTGTCCCAGAAAGGACTGGGCAATTGTGTAATTTTTTATTGAAAAAATCCAGTGGACTGTGTTACCACTACAGTGATGCTATTGCCTATTAGTGAGTGGCATTGTTAATCAATATTATTCTCATAAAAATGCATCAACTTCCTCACAAAATTTCTGTTGAGGGATATATATAAATTTAATTTCCACTCTCTTTAATAACTTAAAATTTTGGAGTAAATAGTTATTAACATAGTATTAGAGTCAAAGATCTCGAGTCACCCTGATAATTAAAATTGAAACACGTGGTGGACCAAAAAGAAGACAGGCGTGATATAAATATTTAAGTTACACCATCTCTAATAGACGACCAGTCTCTATGTACAATTTTAGATGCATATCTAATCACACTTATCATTCACCTCAATCTACAAACTTCATCTATATTTACATGAACGATCATTTTATCCAACATTTTCCTACTTTGGTAGACAGAGAAGATACCAATGTGCTACAGTCAATGACAGGCTGCGAGTTTCAAAACTTGCTATTCGTCAGTCATCGACTGAGATTGTCTATGTGTAGGACTAACACTTCCGGCTCGACTTATCTTGAGTGCAGCCAAAGCCTTTTGTATTTCCATCGTCATGGCGCTGTCCACACTTCCTGATGATAGCTTCTTGTGCGCTTTCTGCAAATGAAGCTTAAGCGAGCTGCTACTCAAGCCAGCATTCTTTCCACAGATGGGGCAAACTTTCATCGCTGGTTTTCGTTGCTGCCATTCCATAGAAACCTTCCCATGCAGCTTCCGATCTAGGTCCAAAAGAATCCTTGCAAACCCATCATTGGGCTGGGCTCGGCGGTGCGCCTTTTTCAAGGTATTCCATGCTTGCAACAAAGTGAAATTCCTGCATCGGAAAAAGATGAAATTAATAACGAAGTATATCTTGAAAGATCAATAAACATCCTTGCATCTGTGTGTACCTTTGACAAGTGTGGATAAGATCTAAATGAAGGTTCACCAATGGTGGGTTCCATGCCAAACATTGACCTTCCTTAACTATACTAAAATTCAGTTATGTTAATTTCACTTACTTTCTGAGCATTAAATAGGCAAGAACTACTGTTGCACTTCTACTTCTCCCTTCAAAACAATGCACCAGAACCTTCCCGCCTGTTTGTTCAACGTGATCAATGAAATCATGAGCTTCTTCAAAGATACTGCTCACATTTGTATCTTCGTTGTCACATATCTGTTTGTACAGGGAAGTCATCAGTATAAAGCAATTTCTTAAAAAGGTTCCATAGAAGTTGATATGCATGGCTGGATAGGTGCACACTCAACCTAACAATACCAAAATTTTAAACAACTTAAGGTGGTTATAAGTAATTATGTAAGAAAACGGATGCAATACAGAAAAGACTATGAACAACATTTTGTACTAGTACAGTAAGCAAAAATGTGGCCAAAATGTTCAAACATTATGAAGATGGACTAAATGATGATATACATATTAATCATTGCATTCAGAATATTAATGCAAGCGCATAGACAGTCAAACAAGCCAATTTAGATGAACTCGCTGCTCAATAATCTAAAACATATAACTTGATCAAACTAGGAGGTTCCTTCAAAGGAAAGAACCAAAGAAATAAGATAATGAAAAAAAAAGAAAAAAAATATACACCATATCCTCTATAAAGTCTCCCAGTAAGGTACGAACCAAAATCAGTCAATTTGGGATAATAAAAAAATGCCCAAGCACAAAAGATGTACTAATGCAATCACGCATGTCATGCCCACAGCCCACTTGATTATAGTTGGGGAATCTAATGCAACAATGACCTTGGAAGGGTCCAATCTTTCATTTATCCAAAAACTGTATTCCGAGAAGTTCAGCCCTTTTTTGGCCACTCCTTTCTACTTACAGATAACTGTATTGTTCTTCTGAAATTTGGTTGATAATTAACATAATAATCTCTCAGTGTGTGTGTGTTTTATTTTAAATGTAATTTTATTTACCAAATAATGTTTAATCTTCTTTGCTATCTCTTTTAGTAAAAAAAAACTTGGGTAGGCCAACCTGAACACAACCCGATTTTTTCACGAGCATGAGTTGAAAAATCTCAACCCAAACTTACTTAGAGTTGTGCTTGGGTTGAGGTGCCAGCTACTTGAGACCAACCCGAACTCGAATTCTAATATTATTTTTATATGTTTTTTATTATATATATATTATATAAAATATTCGAATTATGATCATCTTTTTCTTTTCAACTTGCTTTGTTTAAATCTTAATTTAATGTATGTTAACAATTTGGAGAATTAATTTCTTAAGAATTTGTTTGTAATTTTTTAGAGATTTGCATTAAATTTTTTTATTTTTTATTGTTTTTTTGCTTAGGAGTATTTTAATTGAAAACAAACTCAAGATCATATTAAATTTTCAGTATGGAGATTGGCCATATGGAAACCTGGATTAAACTGACTTTCTCTCAACCCGAATTGTAATCCGAGTTTAAAAATTCAAGGATGGTTTAGGCTCGGGTTGAGTGGTTAGAGTTGGAGGTCGGGTTAGGATTGAACCTTTCACATGTAGGGTTCGGCCTAAGTTGTACCTCCAACCTGCTGACGAGCCAGAGTTGCAGCCCTAACTTTTAGGTAGTTTAAGATGGATAGGAACAAATGGAATTTACCAAAAAATTATTAAGAATAAAAATGGAAATGTATGGAAGGTCGAGGGTCAGAGAGAATAGAGATACCAAAAAATAGGAACAGTTTCTTCGTCTATCGTCAAATGTTCAAAAGTACTGAAGATCGAGGGTCAAAGAGAATAGAGATACCAAAAATGGGAACAATTTCTTCATCTATCATCAAATAATGTTCACGAGGGAAAAGCTAGAGATGATGTTGCTCACAGAATTGAGACAGGATCAGTTAAGTAGAGCACTTCAAGCATAGTTTGTGATAGATGTATACCTCTAAAATAGAAGAAAATTTTTATTGAACAGTTTTTAGACAAATTATGTTTTACAGAACAGACTGTTGAATGGTTAGGAAATAACATGAACCATAAAATGAGCATAGGTAAAAACGGATGTTGAGATGGACTTGCAATAGTTGTTGAAGGCTCAATGCATGCTCTAAGGCGCCAAGGTCACTTGGAGGCTAGGAAAAAGGCGGGCGACTAGTGAAGTGAGGTGCAATGTGCTATATAACATGGAAAATTTATTACAAAAGAAATTACAAACTTGCAATAATGGAACGGTAAAAGCATGTGAATTTTGAACATATTTTACAACACAAATATTAAGATGATAAACACAACCAAAGAATAAATCAAGTAAAATAAAAAGAGAAAGAATAGTAAATAGTACAAATTAACCATGCAACACAACAATATAATAGACAAAGATATATATATATAGAGAGAGAGAGAAGACCAACAAATAGTACTAAAAAATGAGCACTGAGCAATAAATTGTAGAAAAAGGGAATTGCGGAGTAAGAAAAAGACCCCAAAAAAAAAAAAAATTGTAGCACAACTCAACTGTATAGAAAACTGAATAAAAAGGGAAGATACTGCCACTGCACCATTCAAGAAAAGAGAGAGAGACAGAGCAACTAGCAGCAAAGATTCAGAATCCCAGCAAAAATTCTTTTAGTGTCAGAAATTATATGACAAACCAAATAAAAAATAGAGAACAAAAGAAAAACAGAGAGAGAGAGAAATGGGCAGGACGTTAATTTCTGCTAATTCAAAAGGACAAGGAAGTAGAAGAGAGAACTCACAGCAACAATTCTTGGATTTCAGAAGTCAAGTCAAAAATTATATGACCAAAAAAAAAAAAAAACAGAAGAAGAAAGAAAGAAAGAAAAAACAGAGAGAAATAGAGCAGGAAGTTGGGTTCTGCATATTAAAAAGAAAAAAACAGGAGAGGTAAACGGAGAGGGAGAGAGAATCAAACATGTAAAAAGTTAAGAGATGATGATGATCAAAGGAGGTTCTCTAGACTCTAGAGAAAGGGAGCAAGAGAGAGAATTAAAAATGCAGAAGTTAGATTTTGTAGTTAAGAAGAAAAAGATAATAATAAGGACAATGATTTTTTTTTTTTTTTTTTTAATTTAAAAAAAAAGGTTCTTTAGTGAGAGAGGGAGAGGAAGAAAAGATAAGAAATCATTGAATTCTAGAAAGAGAAAGCTAAAATTTTCTGTAAGCTCAGACTATTTGCCACTAATTTCAATCCCAGAGCATCTCTGAAATATATATAGCCACATTGTTGATTTCTTGTATATTAGAAGATGACTTTGATCATGAGTTGCCAGCACCATAACACAAGTAAAAAAGTTAAATCAATGGAACATCATATAATGGAGTAAAAGTATATGGAGCGTCTTATTTTCCACAACAAACCAAAAAGAAGAGACCTTGATACAAGGACCTGTCTTTTTAGCGCACACATTCAGTTAAATGTTATCTCATAGGCAACAAAAATCTTCTGTCACCAGAAAGGCTTTAACCATAAGAACAGACCTTGATACAAGGACCTGTCTTTTTAGCGCACACATTCAGTTAAATGTTATCTCATAGGCAACAAAAATCTTCTGTCACCTCAAAGGCTGTAGCCAAAAAGAACAGACTTCGATATAAGGACCTGTCTTTTTGGCGCACACATTGAGTTAAATGTTATCTCACAGGCAACAAAAATCTTCTGTCACCTAAAAGGTTGTAGCCAAAAAGAACAGACCTATATAAGGACCTGTCTTTTTAGCACACATATTCAGTTAAATGTTATCTCAAATGCAACAAAAATATTTTGTCACCTCAAAGGCTGTGCAATGCAACTCCTTGCAGTGAAGGACAAGATCTTTTACAAGAACAGACCTCTATATAAAAGGTTTTCTCATATGCAACACTAGGGTTCGCTGTCACCTCAAAGGCTGTGTTATGAAACCTCTTCCAGTGATGGACAAGAGGTTTGCACACCGTTCAATCAACTAAGCAAAGATCCAGTTCTAGTGTAGCATAAAGTTGCAGATATCCACTTGTAGTGAAGGAAAATGTTCCAAATTAATATTATGAGCTTCGAGAAAAATGATCAAAGGTATAGAAAGTTACAGAATCCCAACAAAAAGTTAAGGACATTGTTTTGCTCACTGAAAGTCCATCCTGAATATTAATCTAGATAAATCAGATGGTAACTAACACAAAAACAAAGGGAAAGAAACAAGTCTGTAGAAGGGTAAAAATATTCATGAGTTTGGGTTGCCTCAAAAAAAAAAAAAAAAAAAAGAGTCATCATATTGCATATTCACACACATATACATATATAAAATATACACATAGATAATGTATATCTAGATCCTATACATATATATATATATATATATATATATATATATATGCCACAACATCACTGACTACCATGCATTAGGAAAAAAAAAAAAAAAGGAACCAACTTCAAAAAAAGAATAACTTACAGCAAAATTTTTATACTCAAACAACTGGGGATACTGAGAATCTGACTGTCCAGTTTCATTAGAGCACAAGCATAAAATATGTGTAATTCCTAAATGTTGCAGTGTGTAGACAGATCTTGCAGCCAGAGCCCCACCAATGAAGAGGTTACATGAAACTAATGATGGCTTTTCAGTATTTGCAGCATCTGATATCAATGCTATCCTCTCAAGGATGTGCTCAAGTCTAACCTATAGTGTTTTAGAACATAACATAAAGGGTTAGTAATTCTGTATGTCTGAAAAAACCAACCTAAGAGAACAAAAGTAAAAGCTATATCCTATATGCATAGAATTGCATCCAAAAGCTGAAACAATTTATTACCTTGAACTCATAAGCATCGACAATAATGTTATAATCACTGCCCTCAAAAAACCCAGTATTAAAATTGTTCTCCAGGCATAGTTTGACCGCATCATTTCTAAAAATTTCATTCCATTGTTCCAATTCTTTGTTTAGCTCCACATCAACCTGAAAATTAGGACAACAAAACCGTAAAATCAATAGTTAGAAAAACTTGGTTCAGGGACAACAAGTTCTGAAGTGTAACATGCACGACAAAAAAAAGAAATGAGAACATGCACGAGCTTTAAAGAAATTCAAACAACTAAAAATGCCATTACCAAGAGTTTGTCCCGCCTATGCAAGGTGCAGAGAGTGGACAAAGAGGAAACTTCATCACACAACTACAACTTTTAATACAAGAAGGGAACTCTTAATAAAAATGCAGCCCAAGAATATCATTTTAAATTCAGTCAGGTTTATGAGATATTCTTGCTACTTGATGAGACGAGAGAATTCGTTTGCCAGAGATAATGTTCATAAATAACATGTCTCATGTCTAAAGCATGTTTTTTTTTTTTTTTTTCCAAATTGAGAGTACCAACTCAGTGAATTATACCTATGGAACCAACGGGCCAGTGGCCTAGCGGTATCAGCCTCTTACTTCCCAAAGGGAGATCAGGGGTTCAAGTCTCAGAAGAAACAAGTATGTGTGAGTACCAACTAGGAACAAAAAAAAATTATACCTATGGAATAGTCTTTCCAAAAATTTGACAACCAGAAAATCATAACCATCTAACTGTACATCAGAACTGTGAGTATCAATGTTGGTACAAACATTTGCAAACTGTACATGATTCTAATCCTTTGAATGAGAAGCACATTGACAAGTATGCCTTTGGTTGTCAGGTATAATAGTCTACCTATTAGGACTTAGTCTCGTGTTGGCAAATATTGTAGTCCAAGTATGTTGAGAAATTGTTGAATGAAAATCATCTAGGAAGTTTAGGTTTAATAGAAAATAAACCTAGGGGGAAGAAAAAAGAGAACATATTTTTTCATAGGATTACTAGTTAGGAGGCGTACAAGGTAGAAAATATATTATAAAAGATGAAATTAGGAAGGGCTTTAGGACCAGATGGGTATTCCTCTTGTGATCTGGAAGTGTTTAGGGGATAATGACATGTCTTGACTAATAAAATTGTTTAATAAGATGATAAAACTAATAGAATGATAGTGATGCAAAGTAGGGGATATACAATGCAAGTGTTGGAAAATCAATTTGGATTTGCTCCACGGAGGATGGAGGCTGTTTACATTTTTTTCTTAGTTGGTACTCACACACCCATGCCTCCACTAAGACTTGAACCCTGACCTCCCTTTGAGAAGCAGGGGCTTGGTACTGCTGGACCACTTGCCGTTGGTAGAGGTTGTTTACTTATTGAGGAGACTAATGAAAAGATATAGAGAAGAGGAAATATCTTGTTTTAGAGAAAACTTAAGATAGAGTACCTAGGATCTAATATTACGGGCTTTAGAGAATAAAAGAGTCATAAGGGAATATATTGACATGATAAAGGATGTGTATAACTTCCAATTACTGTAGGCTTACATTAAGGGGGGTCAGCATTAAGCCCATATCATTTTGCTTAGTCATGGATGAATTCCAAGACACATTCCAAATAAGTCCATGGTGCATGATATTTTTTTTATTAAATTGTTTCAATTTATGAAGCTAAAGAAGGGGAATTGAAGCACCAATAGCTATTGTGTCTAGTCCAGTTGTAAGAAGTGAGTTTGTGTCAAGATACTGCATTTGTGCTTTGTAACCAGGAGTAAGTCTATGTCAGGGTACTAGGTTTGATTATCATAGTGGATTGGCTAGCTAGAAAAGAAAGTGCCCGTTATTCTTTCCTGTTTACGGTTTTCCATAGAAAATTCTCTTTTACTACTATTTATTCTTACTCTGTGCAACTAATGCTCCATTCGTTAGGAAGGAAGAAAATTGGATGGAAGGGAGAAAAGAATGGAAGAATAAGACATCCCTAGAGAAGAGATTATGAACTTCCCTCGTTTTGTTCGGTTGGATGGAAGAGAAGAGAAGAGAAGAACCTATCAAATTCCTTTGTTCGTTACGAGAGAAGGGAAGAGAGAATTTAAAATTATTTTTACCATTATGCCCTTCATTATTTTTTTTCCTTGTAAATAGCCATCATCTTTACTACTCATCTGAACAGTACCATTAATTTCACTCTAATTTGTTATTTGCTCTATTTATATATACATATAAAACTACTGTTTTTCGAACTACGTGTGAACATGGAGTTTTTTTCATTCTAAATATGTTCTAAAAAAATGTTTTATGGCATTGTATGGTTCTTTATGTAGACTGTATTTTTTCTTCTGAATCCCCTTTTTTACTAATACGGCAATTATATAACAAACAATCCATAATATATATATAAGATCCAGATCTTGACCAAACATGGGTTACAGAGGTCAGGTTCAAGGCAAACGTGGGGTACAACAGCATGATAAAGGGGAAGATATATATATATATATATATATATATATATATATAAAACACATGAATCAAACATGTTTGTACATACTGTCGATCTTTGTATATGTACAGATCAAGAAAGAGAGAGTTGATTACCTGCGTGAGAGAGATCGCTGGAGAGAGCGTTTTGCGTGAGATGAGATGTGTAGGGTTTAATTTTAATTAATATTTGGGAAGGATAATATTGTAATTTAGTATTTTTATAATAGCTCCACTTGTTTTCTCTCTTGTCTTCCGCCTAAATTTGGGTGAATGAAATTTTGTAAAGAAGGAGGGATAAGCCATCCCTCCTATTATCCTTTCTCTCTGTGTCTCCTTCCTACCGAACAAAAGAATTTTATTCTTTCCCTCCTATTTTCCTTCCACCCCTCTTCCTTCCTTCCTACCGAACAGACCATAAAGGAATTAGATTAAGTGGTTAAAGAAAAGAAAACTAAACATATCTACCCTCGCTCTATTTCTGTTTCATATCTTTGAAACCCAATTGCACTTTCCGTGTGCCCACTCCCTATCAGAAGGAACACATTGTTCCTCCTGAAGAATGCTTTACCACTAATACCACGGGAAAAAAAAAAAAAAAATTTAACACCAAGTAGTTCTCAATAAGAACAAAAGTAGCATCATAGTCCTATTTAAAGCTCCAATGTGTGTTACTAGACACGGAACATTTCAAATTTCCTTTTTAAGACATAATTTGTGTTTATGTAAGTAATACCCTTTAACTTTTTCTCAAATTATATTTCCTTTTACGAATAAGACACACCTTTGCAAATTTGTGGAAATCACGAAACTTTGATGTCAAACGCAGACTATGAAGGGGTTCCCCGCTCCCTTTATTAAATTTTCCATGCCAACCATCTCGTGAGATGGGAGAAATAGAATCCGAGTTTTCTTTGCATCCTGAAGACAATGAACTAGGAGCTGCCCTCTGCATCTCTGGATCATCTAGATCCGGACGACTATCATGAATAGCCTGATCCTTACTTGGTGATGGTGACTCTGGAACCACAAGATCCTCTTTGTCAAAATCCCCTGATGAAGTTCTGTTTATAATATTCAGAAACACTCGTAATGTGCTATCCAATTTTTGGTGAAGTGTGAGTAGGAATATATGAAATCCCTGCAACTCCCTCAGAGCTGCCCGGAACCCACTTCGGAATTCACGAACAACTGATGTCATGTCAGTCAAACACAAATCACTCATTGTATCAGCATTTTCTGGTGGAAGTCCTAATTTCCCTCCAGTTATCTCGTGTAACAAATTTGAAGAGTACTCAAAACTGTTGATGAGGAGCTCAACCACTTTAGGATAATTAGCTTGGTCACTTGAACGTTTTCTGGCAGGAGGTCGGCGAGGAACACCAGAGTCGATAGCCAGAATCTGAAAATCAGAAATTTTTGATTCAAATGAAGCTTCTTGACTTTTTAGGCTTATATTGCTCGATTTTGGTGATTCTATGACATCAGAAAGATCAGAGCTCTGAGAAACTAATCCTGCATTATGAGAGTGGTTCATTTTGATATCTGCTGATGATGCCCTTCTTTCTTTTCCAAGAGCCCGAATCACTCTTGGTCTATATCGCTTGATGGCAGAATCAAAGGCTTCTTCCAGTGCATCCACATTCGTGGAGGCCATTTTTTCAGACAACAATAAATTTGCAGAATTTCCACGCCACCCGAGCTGACAACAAGGAAGCCTGTCTTCATTTCTGATGACAAGGTCCAACATCAGGATCCTGCCAAGAGCTGATGCTGTCTTATCTGCAGCTTCTCGTGAATCAAATGCATTTGAGCATTCCAATAGAGGAGATCCATGTATGTAACTGCAAAAGCAAAAGTTTTTGGTCTTCAAAAACCCAAAAATCACAATATGGTGCTTTGCATCATGAAATTTCATGCTTCCACCTCTAATTGCTGTGTACATAATGGAGGGAGACCACATAATTAACATTATCATACCCAGAGTGGACAAGATCTGAAAAGCATGTATCTTTAAATTATTATTATTTAAAAAAAAAAAAAAAAAAAACTTCTCTGTTGCTCCACCAACACTAATCCATGTCAAGCTTATGATGGAAAGCTAAATCAGAAACCAGTTGGTCCTATCTGGGATGACCCATGCTCGCTGCTGTTATTGCCTGAATTGATTGTGTTCACATTCACAATCTGAAAAAGCTTGCTAGTGGCTAATCATGCTTTCACATCTGCTCCAATTGGTGCAAATGCAACAGGCTGAAACGGTCAATCATCATTTTTATAGTAATAATCTCTTGGCAAACCGCTGATGTTGGTCAGACCTAAGCATCTAAGAGACTGAGATTTCAGTAACCTACTAGTATAAAAGTAGGCAAGTAGGCAGTAAGCAGTGAAGGAACAAAGGATATTCCATGATGCAATTATAACACCTCATATAGAATAGAATGAGGTACTGTTCGTACTTCATCAATAAAACACAACGGCTCAACTCAAGAGCTTCCAAAAGTTCTGAACATGTCATTTCGCCAATTTCATCGCCTTCTGAAATTGCTGCATCTCTTGCTTTTTCTGCAGCATCCTTGATCTGCAACCACTCTGCACTAGAATTGTGAACGACTCTGGCCTGCAATGTAGTAGAACAATATTTTTGCTTAAAATTCAGACTTGTGGCCTAAAATGGTAGAAATCAAGAACTGCTGAAGGAAGAAGCACAACTTGCGGAGTTAATACTCCTAGCCACTTTGCAAATTCATAGCCAAGCCGTTCCGACTGTGTGGCCATTCTTGAAGATGATATTTTTATAACTGCTGCTGCTTCCTTCGATAAAGATTCATCAGATTTGTTGAACAGCGCAAAAAAGACAACTCCTCCAGAATTCACGGTGACCTTATCCACATGAAAATGACAAGGTAATGGATTAGATAGGAACAACGTAGTTTCCATTTTGCTTCATTTAAATGAAAAAATTAATAAAGGAAAAAGTGCAAAGAAAGATGTAAACTACTTGTGATGCACCCATATACTTAGTGTTGAAAAATAGTGTATTTATGCTCAGAGAAGAGCTGGTCATCTTCCTTGGAAAGAAAATATACTAAGAGGGGGCATAACTCTGTACAAGGATTTTTGCATACCCACTTGTTCATAGCAGAGGGCATGGAAACATGACTCAACTAATTAGAAGACTGCAGTTGGCCTATAAGTGTAGTACCATCAAATAAGAAGAGTGCAGTTGGCCTATAAGTGTAACCTGGTAGTGGTGTTTCTTGACTTTTAAGGGGGGGGGTGAAAAAAAAAAAAAAAGATAGGGGAATTACAAAAAAAGGGAAAATTTGTAAAGGGACAATTTCAATATGCCTCCCCTTGTTCGCACATTTATTCTTCAAATTTTAGGCCTGATATAAATGTTAATGTGGATGTGAAGGATACGCATTCCTTCTGCGTGGAAAACTTTAAATGGGTCACATACCTCTAAGGCTCTATTCATTTCATCTTCAGACTGCTCCATGCTACTGCTATATTCATTGCGGTGAAGTGAAGAAAGCCTGTCCCATGAAAAGGAGCTCGACTCGATGTCCAACACTGCAGCTTTACCAAGTCTATCCCACAAACATATTTCTGTAGCTTGGTCAGAAGGTGGAGAACTTTTTGAATCAGAAACTGTTTCTCCTGCACTGGATTGCCACGATTATGACAACTAGGTAATAGGAATGAAATCAATGAGAAAACCTACACAAGCTACTGCAATTTTTACACAACAAATTCTGAACAACTCGTCTGGATCAATTTTCAATTTTTTTCTCCTTTTGCTTTAAGAATTAACAATAAGAGGTAATAAGACATCAATGGAATATCTGTGAAATAAAAAAAAGAAGAAGAAATAATATGAAATGAAAGTAATTATTCATTCTATTCTATAAGTAAGAAGCAATGACCTTGGTATTGTGAAAAAACATCGTTTGAGAATTTGTTTCATTAGAAACAAGTAAAAACAATATCGTAGGTAGTGAACTCACAAAAGTAAAACCCACCAAAAAAAAAGTCATATAGAGAGAGAAGAGAGAATTTGAAGCATGAGAATTTAATGGATTAATTTTCTCCTTTAATATTGAATCCAAATTAGTAAAAATTGCCAAACTTTTAGTAAAAAATCAACGGTCTTTTTTATCCAGTTATGTCCCTTGAGCAATTCAAATCAAATGTACCAATTTGGAGCCACATTTTTTTTTCCAAGCTGAAAATATCATGAATTATTTATCATCAATACGATACACGCTTGTTAATACTCCTAATCTTTCAAAAGACTACTAGTAATTCTGCATTCCAAAAATACTCAATTTAAGTCACATTTCTATCCGAACTAGTCCAAGCCAATCACAACCCATTAACTAGCACAGAGAATCAACCATGGCAACACTAGAATCAAGAAGAGCAAAATAACCTCAAGGGCATGGCATCGACTCTGTGAGGCCGGAAAGGAAAGCCTGAGGTCCGATGTCTCCCACTGCGTTTGCGAACCAGTTCCAACCATTGTGTGAACCGGTACGCCGGACCCACAGCAATGTCCCCTAACATATATAACACCTGCATTTCCACCACCAAATACATATACACAAATATCATATATATGTGTGTAACAAAGACCAACATTCTCTTTTAGATATTACATAGAAAAGAAGTGAATAAACCCGAGAAGTGACGGTGAGGGGCAATGGGGTCTCAGGTTCGTCAGGTCCCGGATCAAACTCCTTCTCTTCCTCATCTTTCTGCATATATGCATATATATATATAAACGAAGAATACAAGAGAATCGAATGTATAAAAATATGGGTAGAGTTGATTAAATGTAACGAAAACCCTAGATCAGAATTATGTATATGATACAGATGTGATCATGTAATAAGTAAACAAATTGAGAAAGAGAGATAGTACTTGAAGTGTGTTAATTGTTGAAGGGTCATGATTTTGGTGATTGGCCATTGCTCTGCTATAAATTTGGCGTGTTTTCAAATCAAAATAAAACGAAAGGCGTTGAGCAGTCGCTGCCCTTTTGTAGGCTTCGCTAGAAAGAAACTGTTTTCAGGCGCTTTTTCTGGTGTTGATGTGATTGGTTGCCTATTCGCTGCGTTTCATACTTTTGTTGTATTATTGTCTTTTTAAAAAAAAAAAAAATACTTCGTAATAAATAAAAATTAATAATAAAACCATAACCGGAGTAAGTTTAAGTAAAACACATCGGGAGCAAGGAGTGGGAAAGTGATAAAATTTAAATTATATACGTGGGAGTAAGACACTTAATTCTAAATAAAAGAGTATATTTTTAGGAAGTACGGACACTTTTACAAAAAAGTCCTACCTATGTTAGATATAGATATTTTTTTAATATGTGTCCGACACTTCATATACGTGTCAATAAATAAAAATTAATTTTATTATTTATAACGTTTCGTCGACACTTTTCGGACACTTCTTAAATATTTCTAACACAAGTTTACCTACTAATCTTAAAAATAATATGAATATTATCATGACAAAGAAGTGAAATAATAGTATATATGATATATAAAAAAATCATTACAATAATTTTCTAATTCATTTCATAGCAACTCTTAATATAAAAATTATAAATGAATTAAAGTTTTATAATACTATTACTGAATAAATGTATAAAAATAAAAATTTATATTTATATGTAATTGTGTTCACGCCGTACCCGTGTCCTACTATTTTAAAATTTAACGTGTCATATCGTGTCTGTGCTACATAGGTATATCTTATTAAGTGAGTTTGAAAATCATTAAAAAGATAAACACCATTTGTTAATGCTACTAATTTGAACATATGAAAAGTTGACTTAACTTAGAAAGAAAAGTGATGGAGAAGTGTTAACGTATATGTAGTCTCACTTATAGTTTACGACTTGGAATTACTAGATACAGCCACGTGGAATCCTTGAGATAAATCAAAACAAAAGGAAATCCGTAAGCCAATAAGAATAGGACGTGTGGCGAGTTCCATGAAACTTGCCACCCCAGATTAATATTCAGACAATTGGATAATGAAGCTACAACTAGGGTTGAAAAGGGAATACTACCCTGAGAGCAAGTCCACCTTGCCACTCAAGTTTGAAATCTAAAACCATTCAGATGCTGACACGTGGCATTGAAGATTAGGTCTAGGAAAATTAGAATCTGGTGAAACGAGGGTCCACAGAAAGGATACACGTGGTGTTTTAAGGTATCAGATTATCAATGTTTCTAATCACATTTGACTTGGTCAAATTGGAAGGCAACCACCCGCTCCTATAATTTCTCCATTTATCATGAAAAGAGAAGTACTACCTTATGCCTTAGATTTTTATTTAATTATTTATTATTTTATTTATTTATTTGATTTATTCTTTTTCCGTGTTGCCTTAGAGTTTTGTTGAGCCCGAGGTAGGGTTCGGTGTTCGGAACCGATTTCCGGCACCACGTGCATTGCATTATTTTAATTTTTATTGTCAATGCATGTTTTAAAATTATAGAAATGCATGCTCATTTAATTTTAAATTCTGGGGGTTTGGATGCATAATTTCTTCTAAAATATTTTTCGTTTTTCGGGATTATTTGCGTAATTAAGTTTTTGAGATATTTTGTCTTAGGAACATTTTTGCAATTATTTTGTGAGATATTTTGGGGAAAGACCATTTTGCAAATTTTGGAAAGTGTGACAATTGGACCATTTGTTGACTTTGTGGTGGAGACACTTAAAAGCATAGGATGAAGACATGTGTAGGGTGTAGATTCATTCTTGTGAGGATGCCTAGGATGGTGACAAATGGAGGGGGTGGGATTTGTGTGTGTGAGAAAGGTAGTGTTAGAATAGTTTTTATGCTTTACAATTCATTTAGGCCCCATTTGGTAACAATTTTTGTTTATTGTTCATCACTTATGCATAAACATAATCGGTGTTTATGTTTAACTTTTGTTTATTGATAAATAGATACATTGTTTGATAACGGAAAAATGTTTAACTGATTTTAAAAACAATAAACAAAAAAATATGTTTGTTAACCTTAAATTACTTTTTAAAAATCCAACACAATAAATAAAATAAATATGTATAAACTTGTTTGATAACCTAAAACAAATTTAATCTACTTTTTTCATTAAAGGATATTGATTGGCATACTTTTTCATCAATTTTGATAAGTGATCAAGTCATTGTATCAAACAAGTTGATTAATAATTATATATATCCACAAGATATACCATCCCATTCACTGGTAGCAACTAGGAAGACACAAATGAACTAAAATTTTCATATATTGTTACATTCACAGCCCTAAAACAACCGTGTTCATGATAGAAAATATCAAGTACACGTGATCCAGAAAGAAATGACATAGAGCAACGTTTCAAAAAAAAAAAAAGAAAAAAGAAAAAAGAAAAAGAAAAAAGACAGAGCATAGTCAAACAACTACCAGAGGCATGCATATATATAACAACATTTTCATTGAAGCATTACATGGTCATTCCATATTTCATCAGCAACTGAATCATGAAATTCACTCATTTGTCGAAGTTCAACTTAATTGACATTGATCTCAATAGGAGCTTCAGAGCTACTCGCCCCTACATTCTCAGGTTCCACGTTCGCTTCTCCATACTCTTCAAATAGAGCATCTAAACATGCTTCCATCCTTATAAAATTATGAATTGCACAACATGAAAAATCACAATATCTGCTTGCATATCGAAAGAGTATGTTGCCATTAAATTAAATATAGAAAATCTTGCCTTCAAAATACCAAAACAACGTTCAATAACATTTCGAAGAGACGAATGCCTAAATTTAAAAAGCTCCCCACGATGCACCAGTGCTCTACGAGTTCTCCTATATTCTTGCAAATGGTATCTCTCACCACGATATGGTGATAGGAACCCCGGCATGTTAGTGTAACCAGAGTCAACCAAGTAATACTTGCTTTTGTACCCCCACATACCTTTCTTCTTTTAACCCTAGCTTCTTACTTTCATTACAGAAGTTCATAAAGACGTGTTTTTCCATTCGGAACATATCAGAACATCTTGATGGGTGATCATTTAATATTTCCAACACAAAATCATTACCAGTTAACCGTGAATTCCTACACGGTCATTTAAATATAAATCTTCTCGCATACTCATTCAAAATGAAAAGGAGAAGCAATTGTTCCTCCTCATCATCATCATCGTATGAAAGAACAATCGTTCTAGGATCCATATCAAATACCTGGTCTAGCTAAAATTAGTTATAAGTAAGAATGTATAAAGTAATGCCAAATAAAATAAAAATTAATATGAGAACAGAATAATAACATATAACATGTTTACAAAGTAAAAACATTCACACATAACATAAAAAACATCCTTACATAACATAAGAACATCCATACATGTTCACCTATATAGAGTTGAAATGTTACAAAACATTGTAGGTGAACATTACACATAGTTCAATATTAAGGAACACACCCCTCCACATAAGAACATCCATACATTACACCTACATAGAGTTAAAATATTACCTACATAGAGTTATAAATAAAATATTGTTCAACACACATAGTTCAAAGAGTGTAATCCAACCCTTCTTCCTGTCATCACTTATATGAAGGAACACGCCCCTCCACAATGGTTCCTTACTCATAATTGTAATTTCCTTGGAGTACTGCACATGATCAATCCCATCAATGGAGTCCATGGCTTACATGCATTTATGCATCATGTCATCATCAGTTTTAGGCACAGCCTGCTGACCAGACTCACTATCACCACTCAACCCTATAGGAGCCCAACATAAACGGGAGATAGAGTAAGTATTGTCTTCTCATATGCTTTCTCATATGCCACAGCTTTCCTTGTGTTTATTTCGGACAAAGTCATCAAAGCATTAGATATGCTATATGCGAAACCCATATTTTAGGGCTTACGCATTATTCTTAGAGACCGGCTTTGTGGCTGACCTCTCTTATCTTCCTCCTCATCCTCATCATCATCCAAATTGTACCTTGGATGGAGAATATCTTTGTCTTTCTCAGTCTCACCACGTAAAGGAACTCTTGTAGATGGACGTGCTTGAGAGCCAGTTGCCATTGTCTCATTAAAGATGTGACATTGCTTGTCATAGTCCTTGCATGATTTTTTCTTGAATTTTTTTGCAGTTCTTAATAACCTACTAGTTCATATATATTAACACTAGTGAAAAACAAAAAGAAAAAAACTAACCAATTTGCTAGTAGATGTTACTAACCTTTGACAACCTTTTTGTAATACACCTAATTTTAAAATGATAGTCTCGGTATTTAATTTATTATTTTATTACATTTTTAATTGATTAAATGATTTATTTGATTATGTGACTATTTGTTTATGTGTTTTTAATTGAATTATTTGTTTAAATTAATTTATGTGCTTAAATGTTATTTTAATTAATTATTGGTATGAATTGATTTGTTTAAATGCCAAGTGATGATGCATATTTATTTGTTTACATGTTATGTGTTTATTTATATTTAAATTATTTGTTTTATTTTATTATATTTTAAAAGGAGTTGGATATGGATAGTAATAATGGACCAACCATTTGGGTCCCACGGACTATTTGGATAAGAGGTTTAATGGATATGAATATTTATCCATTGTATATATATATATATATATATATATATATATATATATATATATATATATATCAAGGCCAAATTCGTCCCATTGATAGGTCTCTTCAATTTGCTGATAAATTCCCAAATCAAATTTTAGAGAAGTCACAGTTACAGCGATTCTTAGGGTCTCTAAATTACATTGCTGATTTTTACAAAGATCTTCGCAAGCAATGTAAACCCCTATTTGATCGACTTCATAATAACCCCCTTCCCTGGACCTCTGTCCATACTAATATAGTCAAATCTATTAAGCGCTATGTCAAGTCATTGCCTTATCTTGGCATTCCAACTACTGATTCTTTTAAAATAATTGAAACTGATGCCTTTGACATTGGATATGGTGGCATCCTTAAGCAACGCGTCAGTCCAAATACTCCCGAACAATTAGTTCGATTCCATTCTGGTGTTTGGACAAAAGCACAA